AGATCTCAAACTTGTTGGTGAATTAGGAGGATGTCTATCCCAAGCACATGAGGACTTCCTCTAGCAGAATGGTAGCTGATTGGATATAGACAATGAAAGAAATGTAAGAGTTGGGATTAACTTTGAGGTTGTGAACCAAAGTGACTTGAAATATGGTGGTATCCTCAATAGATTTAGGAAAATTTGGAAGAGGTCAGGTTTTGAGGGATGATAATGAGTTCTGTTTTGGACATGATGAGTTGGAAATTTGGGTGGACATGTGTAGCAGATACCTTGATACGCAGGTCTCTAATTCAGTAAAAAAAAAAAAATTAGAGCTGGATGTATATAGTTGAGAAGTGTCTATGTAGAAATACTCAAAACCCTTGGAAATACATATAGAGTATAAGAGATGAGGACCCAGGATAGAGCCTTTGGGGAGGCATCCAAAATGGCCAGGAGATAGATGGTGATCCAGCAGTGGAGACTGAAAAAGAGTGATCAGACAAATAGGAAGATAATCAACAGAGAGTAGTGTTATAGAAAGCTAATATCTAAGAGAATGATGTCAATAGTGTTAACAGTTTCAGACAGGTCAAGTAGAATGGACACTGAAGAAATGTAATTAGATTTAGCAGGCAAGACGTTGCCAACCTTGATGAGAGCAGTTTCAGGTGAGTGATGTTGTTGGAAACCAGACTGAAAGAGTTTGAAAGGTGAGGGGGTTGGGGTTAGCTGAAATGAAGGCAATGAATGTAGGCAACTTTTTCTAGGACTTTCTAGGATTTGTGAAAGTGAGAAGAGCTATAGGATGATAGTTTGGGGGTGGTGATGGTGGAAATCATAGGGTGAAGTGAAGATTTTTTTAATAGATGGGGGAGACTTAGGTATATTTGTGAGTAGCAAGGAAAGTACTAGTAGCTCAGGGCAAATTGAAAGTGAGAGAAAGCAAGAAGGAATGATCAAAGGTGTCAGATCCTGGAGGGAAATGTGATAGAATATGAATAGATGTATCACTTTTTTTTTTTTTTAAGGCAGTTAGGGTTAAGTGACTTACCCAAGATCACACAGCTAGTAAGTGTCAAGCGTTTGATCTGAGATCACATTTGAACTCAGGTCCTCTTGACTTCAGGGCTGGTGCTCTATCCATTGTGCCACCTAGCTGTCCCAAGATGTGTCACTCTTGGTAAGGGGTAGGGCCACCTCTTAGAAACTGATGCTAAGAAGGAGAGAATGGAGGCAATGTAGAGAGGTTTTTGAGGTATAAAATAGAGTAGTTAGAGTCCAAATGTATGTCATGAAATTTGAGAACACTGGTGGATTAGGTGCCAGGGTTTTTGTTGACACATCAGTTTGAATATTGAAGTTGGAGTTGAGGGCAAGACTGAACTTGGTACGACTCACTGAAAAAGGAGGAAGTAGAGGCTAGTAGATGACTGGTGAGAATCTTGCCTAAGTGGTATATATGAATGGAGTGACCCTCAAAGGAGTAGAGGGGCCAAGTGATGCTGATAGTCTCGAAATGGCAGTGAGGAGTAATAAATATACCTTTTCCTCTGTAAGCGGCCTAGAGAATGGATCATTTTACAGAGGTCTTAAGTAAATAATGGTGGAGCCATTATGTTCAGCATTGGTAAATGACACATTGTAATCAATGTTTAATTTTCATACTTTTTGTGCCTGTACATTTTTAGTAAAGTTATTTGTCCAAAATTGGGGCCAACTAAGAGTGTGTATTGTCACTGGGTCCATACTGTTGGGGTGACTCAATTACAGTAGGAAACTATTAGCTGAAGGAAAGGGAGCATAGAACTGTAACAGAGAATACCAGGACCAGGTGGGTAAAAGTTGTGAATTCAATTAAAAACCAAATATTTATTAAGTTTTTACTTTATGTGGTAATGGTAGACCACTGAGTATAAAAACACAAAAACAAATAATACCTTTAAAGGGGTTTCTTTCCACTGGAAGAATACACATTTGAGGATAAATGAATACAGGATAATTTGAAGAGGGATGGAACACTTTAACAACTAGGGAGATAAGAAAAGGCTCTCGGAGAAACCTTGAAGGAAACTAGGGATCATAAGAGGTGAGGAGGGCATGCACTCAAGGTGTGGGGCGCCATCTGTTCAAAGGCATGGGAGATGGAATGGCTAATTAGGAATGGCTAGTAGGTCAGTTTTACTGGAACATAGAGTACATGGAAATGAGTGTTATGAAATAAATCTGGAAAGGTAGGTGGGAGCCAGATAATGCTAGACCTTAAAGACAAGCTGAGGAGTTTGTTTATTATTGTGTAGACTTAGGAACCCAGTGAAGATTTTGTACATTCTTTCTTCTTCCAACAACACATGCTTCTTTTCATTTGTGGATTTTTTGGTTTCTTCATCCTGTGGGATATCTGAAAAAAGGAGTGTGTTGGGTTGCAATATCTAAGGTGCAAGAGATGGTATAGTTGGAGGCAGGAGAGCTGCATGTCAGTACTTCCTTTATTAGCTGTGTGACCATGAACAAGTCATTTAACCTCTCAATTCTATCATCTATAAATTGTGGATAATCATCTCTTTACTAACTACCTCATGTGGTTTTAAAGATGAAGTGAAATAGTGTTTTTTTAAAAATTTTTTAATTTTTTTGAAATAGTGTTTTTAAAGTCCTTTGAAAACTGAAGAACTATTGAAATGTTATCTAACATTATTATCATTATTTTTACTAACATTACCATCAATTCTTGGAGAAATTTATCTACATGAACTGTTCTATAGGCCCCACAGAATCAACGCTATAGGAAGGGCTGTTAGGGAATTATTTAGTGGCCCTCATGTCTTTATCCCTAACAGTAGTTCATTTTAGTGCTTTCCAGACCTCACCCAAAGTGCCTTGTTTTAAAGAAAATGCCTTTGCTTTTCTGGTATTCATAGAATCTACACGTGAGTGCATATTCACCTATGCATCCATATAACAAACCTTGAGAATGCTTTATAATGTTTGGGAATTATGAACGTTAATCCAGTTGCTTGTGTGTGAGCATGTATATATGTGCATTCAGGAGTAAGACTGTTTTTTTAAGTAAAAATGTGCATGTGTGTTTGAATGTCAGGGTCAATCAGTAAACATTTATTAAAGGCCTATTATGTACCAGACACTGTGCTAAGGATATATGTAAATGTATGAAAATAAGGAAGTTTTGGAGGAAAGCTGATGTAGTAGAAGGTTGTAGTAGTAGGAAGTTTGGTGTAGATAGGGCATTGTACTTGAAGACGACACAACCTGGGTTCAAATCTTCCCTCAGACACTTATTAGCTTTGTGACTCTGGGCAAGATACTTAACCACTTTATATGTCAGTTTCCTCATCTGTAAAATGAAAGCATTGATCCCTCCATGTATAATCATATGATTCCATATGTGGTTGGGGAAAATATTGGGTCGAAAGACTGACATACTTTACAGTAAGATCACATTTATTATTGTTCAGTTGGTCAGTAAGTATTTTGTAAGTTCTTACTACGTGCCAAGTACTGTGCTAAGCTCTGGGGACACAAAGAGAGGTAAGAACATAGTCTGCTCTCAAGGAACTTGCACTGTAAGGAACCATGTAAATTATATATACATATATATATATATGTATATATGTATACATGTACATTGTAAATGAGAGGTAATCTCAGAGGGATGGCACTAGTATTAAGGGGGATTGGGAAAGGCTTCTTGCAGTCATTAAGATTTGCGTTGATTTTTGAGGGAAGCCAGGAACTGGAGGTGAGGAGGGAGATCATTCCAGGCATGAGAGAAAACCAGTAAAAAACTAAAGAATCAGGAAGGAGGTAGAACATTGTGTGTGAGAATAGCAAGGTCAGTGTCTCTAAATTGTGGAGTACCTAGCAGGGAGGAAGGTGTAAGAAGACTTAAAAGGTGGGAAGGGCCAAGTTGTAAAGGGTTTAAAAGCCAAATACAGCTCAGTACTTGAAATCAGTTTATTATTTTGAGCCTGACTTTTTCCTCCATTTATCATATAACTAATTTTTATATAACTTATTTTCACATTCCCTCCCTTAAAGTCTTAGTCTAGTTGTTCCATTGTGTCATGGAAGTGACCCTGGGTTCTTAAAGGCAGTAGAGTACCAACAAGCTCTGGAAGGAAAACCTTGTATGTAAGTCCAGGGACTCACTGTGTATTTGTTGTTTGAGGTTCAGCCTATTTAAAGCTGGGGAGGTTTATCACCAGGTTCGCCTGAGAGTGATTATTTTTTGTACACAAAATATAAAAGATTATGTGTAGAAGTTCAAAATTTCTTACCAAATCTCTATCTTGGCCTGCTTTGTATATTTTAAGTGTTTGTGTTTGTTGATGGGTAACTTCACAATTAAAAAAAAATGGTCTACTTAAGTTGTAGAAGGCTTATAATTGGTGTCAGTAGAAGAGCTATGCCATTAAAATCATGGATCCTTGGAAAAGGGAAGTTATTTTAAGTTTAAATGGTAACTGATATGGCCTAAAATTGAATGTTGGAAGAATTAAGTAGACCCCACTTGAAAAAGCTTTTCCTATCCTGCACCAGTTTTCTGAAAACTTTGGAATTAAGGAGGAAATAAACTATGAAAATTGCATTAAAAACTGTAAGCATACTTTAAATGCCATGATTTCACAGTAAAATCTCTCAAGTACCACCAGGAAATCAAGCTAATCCAATCAATCTTCACATGAAAGAGCCTTATGTATTTTTGTTATTAAATACTTTTAGAAATTAATGAGGTAAACAAACATTGTACAGGATAGTAAAATTAAAGCAACACAGAAATATCCACAAAGGTCCAGTTAATGAGTATGACTTAATAATATATATGCTAAACACATTTTCAAAGTTAATGTACAGTGATGACACTTTACAGATTGAAACTTACATTGAGACCATACGAACCATATTCGATATGTATTGTTATTCCAACTATATATTCACTTATTAAATCCCATGCCCCTTTTTGTTTAAATTTAACTACATAGTGCTTTTGTTTATAGGAACAAGATAATGCTATACAAAATATGCATAAGAAAATGGAAAAACTAGAATCAGAACACCTTGATTGCTCTAACCTTCTACGGCGACAAGCAAGTGAACTTGAATCAAGCTCTTCCCGAGAGGAATTACTTAGAAAAGAATATGAGGTAAGCTGACATGATCCTCTTCTACTTAGATATTATTGTACCCATGAGCAATTAATCATTGCCCTTTCACAAACAATGGTAATATATTTTGCACTTCGAGATATGAGGGGGAATAAGTGATATTAATGATGGTAGAAATAGCATTCTTACTTATTAATCACATGGCATATTCACTTTGACTCATACACGCACTTATCCTTACCATATCTGAGGGCATTTCACCTCTAAACATTGTAGATTGCATTCTACATGCTAGTCCATTAGTCCTCTAACTCTTGCACTCCAGATATTCACTGAGATAACTTATAGTAGCAGAGAGAGCCGTAGATTTGGAGTCAGAATAACTGGTTTCACTTTCCCAGCTCTGATACTAACTTTGTGATCTTAGGTTATTCAGTATGTTCAGGCCTAACATTCCTCCTATGTAAAATGGGGTAATAATAATAATGATAGCTAACATTTTATAGCACTTTAAGCTTTATGAAACATTTTATATACATTGTCTCATTTGGTCTTTGCAGCATTATGAGGTAGGTGGTATTATTTTCTCATTTTACACATGGGGAAACTGAGGCAGACAAGGTTAAATAACTTGCCCTGGAACACACAGTAAGTGTCTGAGGTAGGGTTTAAACTTCGATCTACCTGACTCCAACTCCTGCCATATTATCCACTAGGCTACCTAATGAATGATACTTTGTTGCCTAACTTCACAAGGTTATGTGTAAAATGATATGTAAATCTTAAAACAGTACAAAAATGAGGTTTCCTACTGTGATTATATTTTTAAAAAATATTTTATTTTCCTAGATAAGCTAAATGATTTACTTTTTATCTAGAAGATTATTTAAAATCTATTCTTATGTTATCATTGTGAGGTTTCAAGGTAAATAGTTCCATTTTGAAGATGAAATAGTAACATAGCACATGACTCTGTACTTTTTAATATTTTTATCGGTGAATTGCATAAAGGCATGATTATCATGCTTATTGCATTTGTGTGCAGTAGAAAGCTAGGAGGGACACCATACACATTGAATTAAAGAGTAAGGATCCCAGAAGCTCATGATAGGCTAGAGCTGTGGGCTGAATCAAAGAACATGAAATTTAGTAACGATGAATGTAAATTATTAGATTTGGGATGAAAAAAATCACGTTTACAAGTACAAGATAGATGTACCTACAGAGAAGTTGACTTGAAAAACATCTGTGAATATTAGTGAGCTGCAAGTTCAATTTAAGTTAACACTGTGCTATGGCAGTGGAAAAAGGTGGATTAACTGTGGGAAGACAGGCACATTAATACATTGCACTGTTGGTGGATCTTTGGATTTCTTTGACTATTCTGCAACATATTTGGAGTTATTGGTGAAAGTGACTAAACTGTTCATATCTTTTGACCCACCATTACCAATACTGGGCATGTACTCCAAAGAAATCAAAGGCAGAGGAAAATAAAACTTTCATTGAGCATTTATTAAGTGCCTGACATTTGCCAGTCACTGCATTAAACATTGGGAATACAAAGACAAAAATGAAATAGTCTCAACCTTTAAAGAGCATGTTTTGTGTCTCAAGAGACAACATGTACATAAATAAGTATATATAAACATATAAACAAAATAAATAAGGTAAATTCTTTTTTTTTTGTGGGGAGGGAACGAGCAGTTTCAGGGAAATATTTAGCCCTCTGCAATAATAATTAGTAATTACATTGATAAGCATTCCTAATTCTTTCAAAATTTTTTGTCTGTTATATTGTTGTCATTGTATAAATGGTTCTCCTGGTTCTGTTCACTCTGTATTAATTCATATAAGTCTTCCCGAGTTTCTCTGAAACCATCTCTGTCATCATTTCTTACAGCACTAGTATTCCATCACATTTATTATATACCATGAATTGTACGTCTGTTCCTCAATTTAAGGACATTCCCTCGGATTCTCATTCTTTGTCATCTTAAAAGAGCTGTAAATTTTTTATGGGTATATCCTTAGGGTTTTTTTTAGGGTTTGTTTTGCTTATCACTAATCCCTCCCTTAATTTATCCTCCACTAATTTCCTCTCCCCCTTCTTCACTTTCCCTCACATTTCCTTGTTCAGTGAAATGTATTTGTATCCAGTTCTGTGTATGTGTGTATGTATGTATGTATGTATGTATGTATATATGTATATGTATATATTCTTCTTTCCTTCAGTCAATGCAGAGAGAGTGAGGTTGAAGTATCAGCTACTCCCTTAACTCCTATTCATTGTCTCCCTATGTATCCTGCTTATGTGAGACATATTTCTCCAACCTTCTCCTCCCTTCTCACTACTCTCCATAGTATTCCTTTTCTTTTACTTCTTCCAAGATCTTCAAGCTATAACAGAACCACTAACAGGCCCTGTCTAATTAGACTCCCTCCATGGTCCTTGATGCTGATAATACAGGGTTCAAATGGAACACATGTATGACCTTCCATATTTGAATGCAAGCACTTTATCCTTTAGTCCTCATCATTCTTCATTCATTTTACCTTTTAATGTTTCTCTTCTGTGTTTGAACATCAGTGTTTTAATGCCACTCTTTTCATCAGAAATTTTTGGAAATCCTCTATTTTATTAAAGGTCCATTTTTTTATCTTATAGCATTATACTTAGGTTTTCCGGATGAGTCATTTTTGGCTGTTAAGCCTGTATCCTTTGCTTTCTGTAATATTGTATTCAAGTTTTCCCCTGCCTTATTATAGTGGCTGCTAAATCATGTGTGATCCTGACTGTGCTCCTTGGTTCTTGCATTTTTTCTTTCTGGTTGCTTGCAGGTTTTGTTTTGTTTTGTCCTTAACCTCAAAGCCCTGGATTTTGACTGTGATGTTGCTGAGGGTTTTTCCTTTTGAGGTTTTATTCAGGAAGTAGCTGATGTGTTTTTTCTATATCTACTTAGCCCTCTGGTTCTAAGAGATCTGGAAAGTTTTTTTTTAATTTCTTGAAATAGGATGTCTAGACTTTTTTTCGGAGGGCATAGTGTTCTGATAGTCCAGTGATTCTTAAATTTTTTCTTCTTTTTTCTGAATCATTTGTTTAAGGTATGAAATATCTTACTTTTTTGTGTTTTTTTGCTTTGTTTTGATATATATTATGTCTCATGTAGACAGTGGGCTTCTATTTGTTCATTCTGTTTTCAGGTAGTTGCTTTGGCAAGGTTGTGTACCTCTTTTTTCAAGCTGCTAACTTTCTTTCCAGTTCTTTCTTATATATCTCTCAGTTCTTTTCCATTTTTTCCCCCTCCTGTTCTCATTTATTAAAAAAAAAAAAGCATGTCTTTTTTTTCCTAAAACTTTTGCTTTATCTCTTTCAGGAATTTTGATTGAGTTTGTGTCCAAGCAGTGTTTTTCTCGGAGGCTTTGCTTTTAGATGTTTCAGAGTCATTCTCTTCTGAGTTTGTGTTTTGAGCTTCCTTTCCACCCTAATAGCTCTTATGGTGGTTTTCTTTCTTTCTTTCCTTCTTTTTTTTTGTTTGCTCATTCTTCTAGCCTGCTTTCTGAATTTGGACTTGATGTGAGGTCTAGGCTCTGTGGCACTTCTGGAAGGAAAATCTGGGTTAGTCTTGTTGCAGCTTTCTTGGGGTGTTGTGTTATTCAAGAATCTCAGGGACAGGCTGGAGATATGCAAGCTTCTGGTGTTTAGTTGTTTTTCACTTGTGTCCAACTCTTTGTGATCTCATTTGGGTTTTTCTCGGCAAAGAAACTGGAGTGGTTTGCCATTTACTTCTCCAGCTCATTGTACAGATAAGGAAACTAAGGCAAACAGGGTTAAGTGCCTTGCTCAGGGTCACACAGCTAATAAGTGTCTGAGGCAAGATTTGAGCTTAGGACGATGAGTTTTCCTAACTTCAGGCCTAACATTCTATCTACTGCTTCACCTGTATTCCCTGTGCAAGCATCTAATCTTCCCAGATAGTCTTATTCGGGGCCAAGTCTGATTGCTTCCACCTAGTCTAAGCTCTGCAAGTTTCTGACCTGGGTTTTTGGATTTGCACTATAGTAGACCACTTTTGGAGTTGGACTCTCATCCAGCTGGCAGTCTTTGGGTAAGGAGTGACAGAATTGCATGTTCCCCATTTGTCTGGGTTTGCTGCCTTGGTATTCCTCCACAAGCTAGCCTAAATGCTGAAATTGACAACCTTCTCTGCTCCTGGGGCTGAGCTGTACTGTTAACTGCTTGCTTCTGAAATTCTTCTGTTCTTATACATGGCCTGAAATGCCACCCTGGGCACAGGTCCCCTTTCTAGTCTGCCCTGGACTTGTGACTCATAACTAGGTAGTGGGTTGCAGAGCCTACTGTCTCTCCTCTTTGAGATGACCTCGTATGGGTTTGGGAGGACCTGTCATCCTGGTGTACAGTCTTTCCTGGTGTGCTGGAGTGCTCTGCAGTGTGCTGCTGCTCTTGGCCCAATCTAGTCCCCAGTGTTCTCATACCTTCTTGTCTCCAAAGAGATACAATGCCAGGCTGGGCTAGACTTACGACTTATTGTGTCTTTTTCTGTTTTTTTCCTATCAAGATTCAATCTGGTACATTTTCTAGGTTGATTTGGAGGTATTTAGTGAAGGGGAGCTCTACTTCTTGCTTTCTGCTACTTTACTATCTTTGTTCTGCCTGCCTTATAAATTTTAGTAGTATCATTTTCCTCTTGTTTATATCTTTGATTCTATATGTATTATTTTGTATTTAACATTAAATTTAAATTCATTTTTTTCTGCATTGTTAGTCCATTGAGTTGGTGATGTTAGGAGCCAGAAGTTCACATTTCTTGGCAACAGATCAATTTGCCCCCCCCCCCCCAAGCAGAGAGTGACTATTTCCTAAATTCTGTTGGACTTTGAAATAAATATATATAAAAGGACCAAGACGAGACTTGTGAATAATAACTAAGGAAGGAAGATACTTCAAATTTTTTTTAATGGAAAAAATTATTTTGGGTTATGTGTGATTAATTATCAAGCTAAAGGAACTTTAAACC